AAGAAAGATAATAATATTAACATTTGTGCCACCTACAGCAGCATTTTCTCTCTCTAAATTGCTAACATCTCACTCAATAACGCTAAAACATACCCCTTCAGCTGTGAATGCAGCCTGCAGCAAAAAAAAAAAGGAAAAATCTGAACAATCACCATCATTTGTTCCTGTTTAATTGAAATCATAAAATATGGTTCAACATCACGCTAAAGGACCCAAACCTTCAAAAAACCTTGCGTGGTTCTGGAAGGAGAACAGAGTCTGCATGTGCTGTGGTTAAGGAGCACCCCAACCTCAGCCTGACCAGGCCAGGAAGAGAAGATCCCCCCTTCTCTGCATCCCGAGGAAGATGGAACGAGCCAGGGCATTGCCTGCCCATTTATACACTGCATTTCCCCAAAGTTGCCTCCAAGGCACAAGCAGTCTGCATGGATTTGCACAGGTCTGGAAGCAACACATGCTCTCCTGGCTCGGAGGAAGATGTTAACCTTGGCTCATGAAGTACCAACACTGCAAAACTTTCTCCTTACAAAGACTATTCTGGAGCCTTTGTTTTGGCTGATACTTAGAAGACAGTTCTCCGGGCCTTTCAAGCCTTGCAAGCTGACCGACTAGGGGAAAAATATTATTTATTATTACTTACAGTCTGGTAGTACCTGCCAATATATAGGACTACAGGATGCCACATGCAAACAGCTTCTGCTTCTATCCAGCAGCTCTGGATAGAAACACTAGGGAAGGGCAAAGGAAAAGCAAAGGATCCTCAGTGGTTTGATGGGCAGACAACTAGGTGGATGTTTGCCATTTACATGCAGCCACAACAGGACACAGTTCTTGTCCCTCCTGTTTAGAGGCCCTCCTGCTGCCTAAGAGGCAATAAAGGGGTACAAATGGATAATGCTTCAGACTCCTAACACTGTTCAAAATACAAGGCATTGCATATTAACCTTGTGGAAAGAGGTCAATGCACTGTTATTGTCTATTACCTGAGCCTTCTGAGCCTTGTACTGTTTAAAATAAGGATATTGGTTTGCTGTGTTTATGTAAGCACGTCTTTTGTTGTAATGTTCAGAAACTGATACAACAGGAAGCTTTTTAAAAATGGGTTAAGTTCACTAGTAATAGCTGAAATCGAGATGCCCAGCACACCATAGGCATACAGCATAAAAGATGCATGTGCTTATATACGCAATCATGGGCAATCCTACTGCTGAAGAGCTACATCACTGGATGCTAATGCAGGTGGACCATAAAGAGGAAGGTCGTTAAGAGCTCTGGTTCCAGCCTTGTAATTAGATTGGCATGTAGAAACCCTCACGGGGGCTGTGCCAGCCTCAACTGAGCTCTGCACAGCTCGAGGTTGAGGGCTCCACCACGCAAGCACGACAGCAGGATGCAGCCCGAGCCCGCGCTGGACCTGCAGACCCAGGGGCTCAGGCACACACACACAGCCCGCAGGCATTAGGCTTTTTTTCTCCCCAAATCAAATATGTGCAAACCGCACACTTCTACCAGGCTTGTCCAAGATCTGAATGAAGCAGAGTTCCCTCTACCTATATATCACCGGAAAGCTGACTGCTGGATGGTGGTTTCTACCTCAATTAGGTTAGGCCACCTGCAGGGTGCCTTTGGGTTTCAACCCAGACCTGTGGCTTTAGTCCGTATTTGTTCAGTGGTTTGGCTTAAAAATCAAAGTAAGGTTTAGAGGTAACAACCTTTACGGAGCTTCCCACAGCCCCAGAGCAGCGCAGCGCTGATGTAAATGAACTGGATAAATGGACCTGGCTATGGGAACCAGCTGTGGGACCGGCAGATGATATTCGATGTCCCCTCCAGGTCTGTTTTTCATGCAGCCTGAGCCTGATAAAGGCATTGAAAAAAAATTATAGACCAAATACTACATGAGAACTGGACAACTGTGCCAGAGGATGGACTAGACAGTGACCAACTGGCCCCACATGAACGCGACACTGCGTTCACAGCCCCTTGTAAAAAGCAATAGCCACACATAAATTTGTTTAAGCCTTGAACATTCAGATAAAAGCAAAACCTAGAAAAAATTAGCGATGCCTTGCTTTTTAAAGCCACGGATTGGAAGCTTAGGGTTTAATTTTACAGTTGTCTCCTGGAGCAGTGAGCTGGTGGGGCATGCAGAGGGGAGAGAAAGGGAGTTCAGGGCTTGAGGTAGAAGTGGAGTGGATGGGTACTGCTACACCATGCATGAGAAGGTGGGTTTTTTTTCCCCTGAGCTTGTCTTGCTTCATCTCCTCCTCCCTTCTCCACTCCCCATTATCAGCATTTAAAACACCCCTGAGTTTTCTTGAGCAGGTTTGCCATGCTCATTAAAATACTGTGAGCACTTGTTGGCTATAATGAGCACTCATTAAATTCTGGTAAGTGCCAGGACTGTCCTGTAGAGTTGAACGGACTCAGGTTCTGGGAGGAGAGCTCAGGGGTGGGAAGATACTGGAAATACTACATTTTCCACAGGAACAGAACTGCAAACTTTCCCCTCCTTTTTTGCTCTGCAAGCACTGGGGTAGCTCAGACCTGCGAAGCAGCAGCTGTTGCTTACTGAGTACGCGAGTCATTCCCCCACCCCAGAAGGACTCTCAGCTCCTCTTATCAGAACAGGAACAAATTAAAGATTTTTTCCATATTTGCATCTCCTCATTTGAGAATTTTCCTACATTTGTTATTTAGAGATAAAAGTCTGCCTCTAAAAATTCACTTAGTAAAGTGGTTTTCTCAGCCTCAGGGAATGGTGCAGGAGGGATTGCAGAGCAGGATCCAAAGCAGCTGGCGAGGCTGCAGGAGCAGCAGGAGATCAGGAGACGAATGGGTGCATTCTGGGGCAAGGATCACATTTTACATGCTCTGTTCTTATATTTATTTCCAATTGGCCGTGTCAGAGACACACACCCTGACTAGCGTGGCCATGCCTATAACCATAAAGCAGTTCCCACTGCAGGATTCAGTGCTACCGTCTGTGTTTTTATCACCCAAAGCTGTTCACCGTCTACTAGCTTTAGAAGATATGAATTAACTAAAACCATATACAGATATACTTTACCCTGGACTAATCCCCAGAGAGTCATAGAGGGTAAGTGACTATTTAAGGAAACTGAATCAGACAAGAGCTTGAAGATCAGTGCATCCCCAAAAAAGCCAGTATATACCATAGTGGGGCAGAGAGAGCTGCTGGAAGGGGGAGGTTTCTGGAAGTAACCCTAGGAGATGACCCTTCTGCAGATGGCCTGCAAAATGCAACGCATCAGGAGCAGGCTGTGGGTGAGAAAGGAGCAGAGAAGTTCACCTGGCTTCCCAAGCAGACTGACCACCACCACATAGCAGAAAGCATGGGCCTGACATACCGAGGTTATGTTATTGTAAAGAAATAGCATTCCTGAAAAGTGGGAATCTGAAATCCTATTATGTAGTGCTTGGGCTGATACCCATACCACTGCCTGTATGATCAGCGTATGACCAAGCCTTCCATCACCTCAGAAATATCTCCTTTTCATCTACATTCATCTAAAGACCACAATTTAGCACAAAATAAGTATCGAAACGGCATCAATTTCCCAAGATTAGATAACTGGTCTGATTAGGCATTAATTGCTCCGTTTTGGCTCACTCTTCATCCACTCACAGGAGCTCTTTGCGGATTACTGCTTTATAATTGCTTGCTCCCTAAGCACACATGCATTGCAATCTTCTGCACACCTTGACAGCATCCTGGTTAGAGAAAATGAATTCTACGTGTTCCCCTGACACAGCATTTTGTCTGCCGGATACAGTAAGTCAACTTGTTTAGTAAGTCAATTGTTTACTCAACTTCTCATAGCCCATTAATGACAGAATGTCGGACACAGCTTCCCAAGACCAAAGCAGAGAAAGAAATGCCGTCAGACTTCAAACACGCTGCTCGCATCAGAGCCTGGCTGGGAAAGTCCTTGAAAGTGGTCTAGGGGAATTTAGCTTTACAGCTCTCTCATGAAGTAAATCCAGGATTAAAGCCTCCAACTTAGTTTCTCCCAAAGACTCAAATGATCTTAAAATAAGCAGCAGGGGCTGCTTTCAAGAACAGGGGACCAATCATTTCATTTTCACTCTGCTTGGCCAAATTATCTACTGAAAAACTAGGACCTGCCATATATAAAGGCTCACTAGCCCTGGAAGCAGGGTGTGCCTGGTTCATCATGGCCTGGCTTTCAGTGTCTTTGAGCAGGAGAGGTGAAGCTCACCCTGCAAAAAGCCAGTTCAAGATCAAGGCACCCCTTAAGATCTCAAATAGAGTTTGACCAGAGTTCAAGTGATGCACAGAGTGCTCCAGGCCCAGAAGGCACCATCTGCCCCAGTGCAATCTAACTCCCAGTACAGCTGCCCAACATTTTCCTAGGGGCTTCTGGAAAGCTAAGCCTAGCAGGACTGATATGCACCAACCAGAGCACAGCGAGGAAAAAGATATGCTCCACCTAAATACCACACCCAGAGAGCCACTCTGGAAATTTTGTTTTTCTTCATGAAGCTTCTGGAACCACATCATTACGGAACATTATGAATTTTCCCTAAGAAAAAGGCAAATCAAGTTTCTTGACTTCCCAGTCATGGAGAAAAGCAGAGAAAGTGTCAGAGAAACGCTCAAACCCATTCCCACAGTCCAGTTCAAAATAACCTATTCCATTAATTTTGAAGCACTTCATAATTCCAAATTGGGGGAGGGTGGTGTATATTGTTTACATATATGCATGTGTATATATATATAGCAGGTAGGAGGAACGTGATCTGCAATGCTGAGCTGATTCCTCAGCTTGGCAATACTGCAGACATCTCCAGCAGAAAAAGAGGATCACTGGGTAAATTTGTTCCTCCCTGTAATAACAGCTATCCATGGCAACTAAAACACCCCGTTACTGAAGCTGTGTCTGAATTCATGCTCAGCGGAAAGACCATCACCCTCCCTCTTCTTCCCCAGACCTTTCAGGGTTACCCCTACTTACAATTGTGAAGTTCATAACCTTCAGAATCCAGATGGTCATAGCAAGGTTCACCAGGATTAAAATCATTAGGAGCAGCACAAAGAAATAGAGGCATCTCTTCCTCCAGCCATAAATCCCCACTTTGTATACCTGGGGTCCTTCTGAGGTCTGCATGGTGCTCCGGTGCGCGTACTGTTCCTGAGGCATCTGAAATGATCACAAAGAAATACCCACGTGTATTAAGCGGCAAGAGAAAGCCGATGATAAAAACTGCTTGTGTCTGTGCCTCTTAGAGGGTTTCAGTTTTTCTTTTTCAGAGTTTACCAGCTGGGCAGTGTCTCTTTCGATATCTTGGTTCTGCATTATTTTTCTTTCTGCTTACTGTACGCAGTAATGCACCAAAAGAGAATTTTGTGTTACATGTGTATATGTTTATAAATACCCATAGGCACACCGTCCAAAGGTATGCTATGGAGATCACTCTCGAGTCACTCTGTTCACCACCCCAGATTTTGCAAGGCAGGCACTCCAGGGCCTCTAAGGATCCTGAGGGGAAAATTTTGCATGTGCTTGGTAAAAGCAGTTGAGTTCAGCAGTTTGTTTTGAAGATGCAATATTACTTCTCAGAGGCTTTAATTAAAAAAAAAAAAAAAATCATCTCAAATAAAATCATTCCTTTCAGCCAAAGAAAAAAGGCAATAGGGAAACGTTTGTCTTTCTTCCTTCCCGCACCCCAATCTTTCTTAACCAAGTAACCTGAAGCACAAGGCTCTCCAGCTGCTACATCCCTAGTGAATTATCCCCAAATGTCTATGCTGGTTTAAACAAGACCTCTGATACCCTGGGCGGGCATGGCACGCTAGGACAACACTGGGGGCCAAAACCAAGGAAAGAGAGAAGGAAGGAATGCAGGTGCTGAGGAAAGCAGCACAGCAGCATCCCCAGAAGAATTTGCTTTACAGTCCCCTGTGGTGAGCACCATCTCCCCTCCTACACCCCGGTGGGCATCTGGCTGCCCCCACCACGGGTGGAAAGAGATGGGTGCTTTTAACCGGCACTGCGGCCAGCTGGGATGGGTCCGGAATACGGCCACTGCAGAACGGTTGTGTGGGAAGGGCTGGGTGCGCAGGGGGTTGTGATCGTGCAGGCATTTCGTGCCGCACAAAAGGAAGCATTCACGCTCTTGCCTTCGCATTCAGGGTGTGGAAAGCCACTTCCATGGGCTTCCCCCAGGGATCAGTTTCTTATGTTTTCAGCCTTTTTTGACACACAGGCTGATGATACCATATCATGTCTAATAACACACAGTTTACTGAGTGTTTTTTATTTTACACTCTAGACAAACAGACCACCACCAAACGTGTTCTTGCACTACTGATTCAACACCACGGGCTTCTTCCTCGAGCTATCTGGCATCGACGTTTGTATTCAGTGAATTACAGAATTCACAGAACAGGAGGAAACAATGCGAATCCGCTCTGTGGGAGCGCGACCCACGAGGGCAGAATGGCACAATGGTAGAAATTAGATGCTCTCTGATAGCAGCTTATGTTTGTTTACCGTTAGTTTCCTGTTTTTTCCTCACTCTTTTGCTAATAGCTTCATATTCCAGCATCTAATAAAATACAGCGTGCAGTGGTGCAGAGCCCATTGCAGGCTGATGCAAGGTGAGTTTCTTCATGGCATAACTTTTATTCCAGTAGCACTGCACCAGGGATGAAGTTAAGACTATCTTTGCTCCTCCAACACTGAAGTCCACACATTTGAGACAAAGGCTGCCTGAAGAGACAATTACCATTTTTTTGGCTTTCACTGCTCCAGAAGTCACCAAGACCTGTGTTTTCTAACGCTGCCTGGTGTTGTCACCTGCAGCCTGGGGGATCACCCACCCCTCCCTTCCTCCACGAGCCTTCACCCCTCACCCAGGCTGAAACACAGTCTCAGGTGCTAAATAAATCCATTCAGGCACTAATTCTTTTCAGATCAGAGGCACTGACACCTCTCCCAGTCTTGACCTATAAAGCAAAACCGACTTAGCAGCGTATTCGGGAAGGCTTTGTTTAGCCCAGGAAGGCTGGTGTGCTCGCACCCCTGCCCTCATCCCAACAGCGATGCTCCTCCAGAGGGTGGAGGTCCTCATCCTTGCCTCCTCTAAGGTCAGCAGCGGTGTTAACCCCCACACTCAAAATTCACAACAGTGGCTGAAAACCAGATGATTTAAAAAAATAATAACAAATGAGGTACTCCTATCATTTTCCTCTCAGATTTCTGAACCATCACATTTTTAAGTGTTTTTTTCCCCTTATACGCTTGAGGGCTAGAGTTCACCCAGGAGTAAAAAGCAGGTCAGCCTTGTGCAACAGTGAGGTGCTACAAAGGGCACCCATGGGAGGAGACCCCGGGCACCACCACTGCCCATTTGCAGGCAGCTGCCAGGCTGAGCCTCCGCCTCTCGAAGGAAGGTGCTGCCTGCGCTCGCTAAACTAGAACTAGAACAAGGCGAGCTTCAAGCCAGCCCGTCCACGCCTCCAAGCCCGCCTGTTTTTTCCAGCTTTCTCAGCTGGTCTAAAAAAAGGATCTCGCATCCCCCCACCAACCGTGCCTCATTTACAACCTCAGACTCCCCCAGCCCCAGCTAACGCCGTGGAGATCCGCAGCATCAGTCAGCGCAGACGATCACATCGCCTCGGGAGGAGCCGACAGCTCACGGCAAGCAAGCCTGTTCTTAATAGGGGATGGTTTGGCCAGTTTAGCCAACATGCATTAGAAGTACATCACCAAAGAAAGGTGTGCCTGTATTAAAGAGCTGTTTTCCGTAGTGTAAATGGGCTCGCCATAAATCGCTTCTGCTGTTCAGACCAGCTGAGGTATCTATCTCTATACCACAAAACCACCCGAAGCCCAGGCACAGCCTTAGCTTTTACCACGGAGATGCAAAGCAAGTTGCTTACAACAGATCCACCTCAGTCTTCACCAGCATTTCTGCTCACAGACGCCAAGTCAGCAACCGTGGAGGGCTTTGCAGCACCGAGCTCATCAGAGAGCGGGGCTGGGTCACCAACAAATGCACACGCTTGGAGGAAAAAAGTCCTTTTTACACTGCTACAACCACTTTGATCTGTGCAAAGGGAAAACTTAAGCAACAATAAATTACAGAGTTTCCACTACCTGGGGGAAATTATAACCACAATGACGGTACAGCCAAGGATTTTATTGCCTAATATTTTCACAGGGGATCCTGGAGAGCACATACTAAATACAGCCCCTCCCTTGGAGAAAATTAATAAATTGCAGCTCTAACCCTCTTCAAAACATGGAAGAAGCTTGACCAGTAAGAAACAATATGAAATACCCAGCTCAAAATATCTCTCTATTACAAAACTTGTTCATCCTCTTCATCCCTTCCCTGCTCTCTCTCTCTTTCATTTTTTCTTTTTTCTTCACTTGCAATCTCTAGGATGGAGAAAATGGCATATCCAGCTGGGGCAAAACTTTGCAGACATCAAAAGAATTTATAGGAACAGAACATAACCACAAAGAGCAACTTGCACCCAGACAGCAGCGTGATTTTGAGAATTTCTCTGGTTCTGGTAAAATATTTAGTTCACAGCTGCCCTAACAGAGATAGAGCAACTGAAGTACCGCAACACACATGATGAGCATGACTTCGTAACACAGCACAAATTTATAACGAGAATAATGTGGGACTTGGAGATGGCATGTTCTTTCTATATAAGCTCTCGCACAGCTACATTTAAAGCTACATATGATTTCTAGCTAGCATTTCCCCCCTGAATTGCAAATGCCAAAAGAAAATGCTCGTGTCTGTAGTTCTCCAGGAAGAGAAGACAGAATGATGGACAGAGAGTGCTGAGGTGTGTTAAACAAACGAGTAGTACAAGGCGGCCTGCAAGGCAACTGCACAAGGAACAAGCTATATCCGCTATCAATAATCTGCTCTGTGTGGGAGGGAAAAGTATGCTAGTCATAATTTACATTTTGGCAACTTCTCCTGACTCAAACATTAAAAAAAACAAAGGCAACCAAAAAAAAAAAAAAGTATTGCTGTGAAAGGGCATCCAGTGGTTGCAGTTGCAAGGTACTCCCCGTTTCAATTACTGAGCCAAAGGGAAAAGCTGTTAGCTGCTTAATGGGATTTGGGTTTTTTTTTCAGGAAAACATTAGGAACAACCACCTAATTTCATAATAGTGGTGTAAAAATAATACTGAAATGAATATAGAAATTGGAAAGAGAAGCACTTTTTCCAAAAGTCAAATCTGAAAGTGTCTGCTTGCCATAAGAGGGCTTAAAGACGCACATGCACAGCACCGGACCACCGTTAGCACATGTATGATCCCATTTACGATACAAAAAACACAGCATGCCAAATCTTCACAGTCTAGCCACAGACAACATTACCATGACTACAAAAGTATAGCCTGGAACCTGGGTAGTTCTCCAAGGAATTCTTGCTGCTGCAGAAAAACGGGTAATAAGTTTTTGCACAAGAGCTTTACGCTGAGTCCTTATATATGAACACTGCAAACAGGGCCTGATACAAAATCCAGTCTGTTTAGAAAAGCTATTCATCCTTTCACTTTAGCATACCTTAGAGATATGGTCCATGACAAGAAAGATTTATTTGTTTTTTTAAGACCACTGGAAGAGTCATGTCACTACGTTCTCTGATCTGCACAGGCTGCTTGCCGAGTACTTCTGGCAAAGAAGCTTCTGCACTTCCCTTCGCAAAGCTGACACCAGGCTCAGATGAAAGGCATCACAAATCAGAACTGGCACTGAGCTTCCAAAAATCATACCAGACCCCACCAGCTATGGCAAATCTTTACCGCATGCCTCTCTCCCTTCCACCACTTCCCTCCTGCCCTGGCAGAAAGCTTCTCACCCAGGGCACGCAACCCTGAATAATCAGGCAGAAGTGTTTTATATGCACAAGGATGGATAAACACCTTTCCCTTACAAACACTGGAGCTGTAACCTTCCCCATCCCTGCTGGCTTTGTAGGCTCAATGAGGGCTATGAACTGGGTGAGGCGTAACAAGAGGAATCAATAACATTTCTGTGCCACGGGGGTTTCTTTGATCAGCGCTTAAATGATGTATGTTTAGTAATAGAACAAATTTAAGCTGAATGGGATGCAATCCAAGAAGGTGGCTTCTCTCTCATGAGCCCACTTGAAATTTTTGGC